ATTAGTCACCACACTCATGCAATTACGTGTACATAATTATGGAAACAATTAATTATATATAAATTATTTAAAATTCAAAAACGTGTTTTGATATCAAAATTGCAAAACTAGAAATTTAAAAGTTACATCACAAGGTTCATCGATCTCTTAGTACATGAAAACCTAGCCTAACATGGATAAAATAAAAAAAATACACAGTAACTATAAGAAACAATATCATCGATGTAGGATTTGACATGTAATCCCGTTGATCTTCAAGTTTCTCTTTGTGATTGTGGTGTGGAATCTCCTCCAATATGTGTTTTCTTCTCTCCCAAGACATTCTCTCTTGAATACAACAGCTTTTAGGCTTTTATACCACTTCCCAATTAGGTTTCCATAAGAGTTTACACAAAACGAAAACTACAGAATCGTGCCCAGATCTTATCCATGCGACCGCATGGTTTACCTGGACTGCCCCTGTGTCTTCTTGGTCTGCAACAATGCCAATACTTCAATTCTTCAACAAGTTGGTCTTTTAGTCTTTCACATCGATGTTCCTGCCATCGGTTCATCTTTTGGCTATTTACATTCTAGTCCCCAAACTTTCATTCTTTTCCATTGTGATCCCTTTTCTACTATTTCCTTCTTCTAATGTCCCACATTATCACCAAATTAGCACTTGGCTCATTTGCATTCTCGATTAGTCCTTCAAGTCATCTTTTGATTATTTTGCATTTTGGTCCTTGGACCTTTGATTTGTTTCTTTTTGGCCCCTTTGTGTCTTTTCTTGTGAATTTCATTATATCCACCAATATGATCCTACAAAACAAAATTGTATAGAATTAAGCCATATTAAACCAATTATATTAACAATTAGTCATGTTTTGTGGACCGAATAAGTATGTAAAAACGCACTTATCGTGTTGCATTTCCAAATGTACCCTTAAATGAGGGTTGAAGGACCAATAGCTATGATTGCCTCGAAAATTGTCCTTTTTTCGTAAACCATATAAATTTTTTAAAAAACATGCTAAAAATACAACTTCAAAGAACATAATAAAACATGATTTGATTCATATTTTGATTTTGTAAGCATCTTTCCTTTGGTAACAAAAAGTGGACATAGGTATATGCACAACTTTAGTTTGGCATCCAGTGACATCGACTATTTTATGTACTTGTTTCAAAGCTCTCATTTGTTATGCTAGGATTGGAACTTTAACCATCCATCTAGATACTCCACTCTTCTCTAGCTCTCACATGTACATAGTTTGAAGTTTTTTCTTCTATGCACCATGCTTTTGTTTTCCTCCTCCTATGGCTTATCCATTTTCTTAATTAATTTAGTGATTTGTAGAGTCGTGATGAGCTCACTAATAAATTGTTTCATAATTTTGATAGTTTAAATGCTTGTGAGGATATTGTTAGTTTGGCTCGGATATGGTTAAGGAAATTAAAGGTGTTCTCAACTTCACTTTACCTATTTACCTTGTGTTTTACTTTTTACTAATTCATTATACTAGATTTTCAATGCGTTATGTTTTCTTGCTCATCTTTGCCTTGTCTACCCTCATGTTCTTTATTTATGTAAAACATCTCATAACTTACTATCCTTGTGTCGTCAAATAGTAATGCCATCTCATAACTTTTATCTTATGTATTTAGGTTCCTAATACAAACAACTTTAATCTATAAACAAATAACTAGCTAAATCATGCTGGGCAATTATTCTTTGTTTGTCAACCATTCTACTACATTCTACCATATTATTTTTTCTACGGTACTCATTTTCTACCACACATTCTTCTTTAAAATAAATAACATAAATAAAAAACTTTTCATTTTTTTAACCACACATTTCAAAATCTATCACTATTCCATAATACATTTTTTGAAATTAAAGGGGCACAAACAGACCCTTAGCTTTTTATTTAAGCTCCTAAAACATGTACAACCTAAGATAAAATAAAATCATTACATCATTGCTTATATTTAGTTATGAAAACTGACCAAAAAGAGATTATCTTAAACAATTTTGAAAAATCTACAATTTTTACACTAATAAAAGTACGATAAAACAACGCACGTAACAACGACTAGTTCTTGTTAAAATTTCATAGGTCGTATTGAAGGCAAATTCAATATATAAATTATAAAGTCTCTAATAATTTAAGTTATAAGAGAAAATTAATGTTAGGAACTCAATTCTCTCATTGACCCGTTTACTTAAATTGTGCATGTCGTATCTCTAAAAATATAAATTTTTTGACTTTTAGGTGAAATTACTCATGAACCTTAAATCTCAACGATGAATTTCATGAAAAAATAATTACACATACAAAATAATAATAAAAAAACGCAGTGGAGAACCCCCCGCCGCCGCCGCCGCCCAACAAGAGTCAACCGGCCGTCTTCCCCATTTCTAGGGACCATTTTGATGCCATTAATAAGCTTACTATAATTAAATCAAGAACTCATAATTCAGTCACATGAGAAACGAAATTATAGTGTAAAGAGATTGTGCAGTTTCTTGCTTTTACAATATTTAAAACAATAATGGCTCCAAAAGCCAAACATGTGCATTCAAATATAACAGAAATGGTTCCAAAGTTTAGTAGGGTTTTTTCCTTTTCTTGGGGATGGGTGAATTGGGCCAGCCTTGTTCCAAGTTGGTAGAGATTTGAGTAGTCGACTTACTTATATCTTATTTTATATTCTTCCACTTGTATGTCGTATTAATTTTGAACCAAATATTTGACGCATAGAATTTTCATAAATGAATTGTAAAAAGACTCGAACACAATAATTTAGTTTACTTCACTTGTGTTGTGAAACGAAGATGATATTGGATTAATCCAATACCATTTTATCGAAGAAAATAAGAGATAATAGTCACAATATGAAGTGAAGATCTCAAAAACGCACGAACAATGTAATTTACAGAGCATAAAAATTTTATTATAATGTGAAAAAATAATACAAAGATTTTATAGGGATGTTCAAACCCTAATTTAGAGTTATAGTTGAAGTAGAATGCAAGAAAAGGAGTAGAAGAGGAAAATATCTCACAGGATGAAAACAGATCGAGTGGCGCCTCAATGCCGTAGCATTGGGCCAAAAGCATTTTGGCGCCTATTCTCGGATCCTTTACTTCAAAAACTTGATTTTCTTCATCCCAATATCCTCTTCAAATCCAACACAAATTTCAACTCTCAATTGGACTTTCAAGTAAAACTTGAATAAAATACCACAATAGCATTCCAACTAGAATTTTTTTTTTAATGTGCACTTTAATTAAAATTCTCAATTATCTTCAACAAAAAAATCGGGTTTTGTGTATCATTTTCATTGGTAGATTATTTTATCACTACATTGCAACGAATACCACCTTCTCACTTCAAACATTATTATGGTAAATGGAAAAAGACTAAAATAGCGACAGATATCATCCTAGTACCTCAAACCCACAAGATTAAAATAATTATATTGGGGTACGTATATTTATGTGCTCCAGTGCTCCAGCTTCCGAGTACAAATTAAGCTCATATTTGATTCACTTAAAAAACATATTAAAATTTAAGTTAAAGTTAACAGTGATTTTAACCACATGCCTTATAGAATTCACAGTTTTTGAACCATACATTCCATCAACTTTTATTATATTTTATTAAAAATATGATTTTTTTCCTTTTTTTTTTATCTAAATCAAATAAGGATTAATTTTGGTTTTGCTCATGTGCATGCCCTCCAAACTATCATTGATCTTGCCCTCCTCTTTTTCTTGGCCACAATTAATTTTAAGATAATACTACTTGTATACTTCAGGTGCATATAATAGATGATACCCCCTCATATGGGGCCTAGGCATAATAAATTATTTGTGAGTCCCCCTCCATGTGAAGGTGTCAACGACTATATACAGGAAAATTGTACATTTAGCACTACTTAATTTTAACCATCCAGAATGGAAACATCCCTATAACTTTCCTGGAGTGACTAATTCTAAACCATCTAATCACATAACAAACCTCATTAAGGTGTCCTATCATGCATATATTATTCCAGAACCATCAATTGTAAGCTCATCTTTATCCCTCATTTTTCCTCCAAATATTGATTCATTGGAAGTCGTGATTTCTTATTTTTGAATCATTATTGCGTGGCGGTGCTACACATACAGAGAAAAAACATACAGACATTTCACAAAATACACACATTAGTGGGCTCCACATCAATAAAATATTCACATTGGGCCCACCCCATGCGTCACCCCTGCGAAACCTATGTGAGCATTGGGCATTTTCCTTATTGTGTTGCAGCCACTTTCAGCATGGTCAGTTGATCTGAAACTTTAAGCTGTTAAAGATAATCTCATGTATAATATCAATTAAATATTGTCTTTATTACGCTCTCTTATAAGCAAATACGATTCATTTTTTTACTCATAAAACCTGACTTGTTCACAAATTCATAAATGTATATATAATGTCAAGACTTGAATTCAAGATTTTTGACCGCTCTAATATCATGTTAAAGTATTTGATCTAAAAGATTAAATATTATTCGCATGATAAAAGTTAGGATAAATATATATGTACAAACTATGGTTGACAAAATCTTTCACTCCCTCTCACATAATGTGTGGACCCAGCATGTATCTAAAAAATGGCGGCTTGTGGTTCCCATCCCTATTGTGAGTAGTGAGTAAATGATTGTGTAAAAAAAGTTTGTACATATAGCATTATCCTAAAAGTTATAGCTCATAGGACAAAAGTTCAATCCATTAAATTGCTCATATTTCATTATGTGGTCGAGTGTCTTTTTCTCTCGTGCAACCTTAAGCATTCGGGTCAAATCAAGTTGCTTTTAGATAACAAGAGAGGATTAAATTGCATGATAGAATGGAAAATATAATCAAAATTCACAAAGCCTGAAGACCTCCCATCCACTGACTACAAGATGGTGACTGCTGCCTAATTCTTCTTATTTTGTCCTAAAACTTTAACCAAACAGTAGTGTGATTAAATGCATATATGTTTCCTGTATTTTCAGTGGCAAACAAAAGTTATAAATCACAATAGAATTCTTGAAATTAAGTAACATTTTCAATGCACATATTCAATATTTTGACAATGCAATAAAGGAAATGTAGATAATCAATTTCACCTTTTAGAATCCTTAAACTGAAATGTTAAGTACATATGAAGCTCCAAAATATTAATATTTGGGAACTCTTTTAGGATCAAGGCATCATATTTGCTGAAAAAGCATTGAGAATGTTGATCCAGTTATCATTATCCTCCTCGTCTTCCTCTACGCCCGTACGATCCCATTGACTCCGACTCATCTTCTCCGTTTCATCATTCCTCGCGAATCTCCCCCTAATGCGTGGTCGACTGTCTGCCAATGTCTTCCTGCATTCATACTATGACACACAAAATTAGATAATTAATAACAAACTAAAGGTAGAAATTTAGAGGCATTTGGTGTTTTGGAAGTTAATTATGTACCCCTATAAAGAAGTATAATTGCATGCCTGTTTGGACTCCATTTTTTGAAAAATGGGTTTTTTAACATTCTTCAATAAATAATATTATACATAAATTCAAATTCCTTTTTTTTATTTTTTAACCACTCATTCTAAAAAACACTACTATTCCAAAATACATTTTCTTCTGGAGTCTATTTTTAGTGGAACCCAAATAGAGGCTTAGACGTGTAGTAGGACGACGTATAAGGACATACTCTTAGGCTAAACTTTTTATGCATTCTGGTTTCTTCTTTGATGAAAATATATAAGAAAAGCGAATTAGAAAAATTTTATAAACCTTAATCCTCTTGTTGAAGTTCCTCAAATTTCTCTTGCTTCTGTATCTTTCAATTCTCTCTTTTTTCTCCTCTGGACTGTATCGGCAGGCTTTGCTCATACTTTCTATGATAGAGCTGCTGTCATTTGACAATGGACTGTTGGATCGCTGGTTATGCCGTGCCAAGTTTATGCCCTGTTACATTATGCAAAAGCAACATCGCAAATGATTAACAAAGAAAAATAAGTTAAAAATATTACACCTCTCGGACTCTCAAAACCGCCCTCTTAAAGGTTCATTCGTATATAGTAAGAATATTATGTCGATTAATGGTAAAAAGAACAAGTTGGTGTTACCTGTAAATCACCAGTGCTTAAAACCTTCCTGACTGGCGATGAATCAAGTCGAGAGTAGCCTTCGAAGTTTTTGTGAAGAGAGTGGCTACTTATGCTCCGTTGAATTAAAGTCGAAGTGTATGTTTCACGACTAGCGATTGAAGTTGGAGAGCCAATATAACTGCTGCATACACTTCTATTGTTTTCAAGTTCGGATTTGAATGCTGAAAGGGAGCCATGGTTGTTGCTCAAAATTGCGAGATGGGGCAAGGCTAGTGGTGCAGTTGTAGGACTTGTGATGTCCGGTAATGGAAAATGGACAAAGTTGTCATAAGAAAATTCATTCCCAATGTGTCCATACATGGCGTGTAGTTACTAGAGAGATAGAGAGATGAAAATGGAATTGAATTTTGGTTTGATAAAAAAAACCAAGTATATGCAGTCTTTTTAAAGTTGGACTAGCTGGAAGGTGACGTGGCAGATGACGTCATTTTGAGAGGGGTTTGACTTTGCTTATTCATTCCATTATGTTCTTGGACTTTTTCTTTCAATTATTTGGGTGAGAAGGTTCCAGCATGAGACATGGCTCATTTGTTATTATCCAACATTTTGGATGAATTAGTGCATTTTTCATGTCTAGTTATTAGTTAATATTACACTTCATGGACACGCTAGGTGCATATTTTAAACGCCGATGAGTACATTGAATTATTCATGAGACTGTGAGCTATGTTCATTTATGATTCATATCTTAAAATCAGATATCGATGAATATATTGAACTATTCATTGAGAAATCCCATGAGTCATGCACAACAACGTAATTAACATGAGTATGCTTTATCACTGATGAAAAATGAATCTTTCTTGTTATTTCCATGTTCAAAATAAAATTGAAACCTTTTAGAGAATGAAGAGAGGCCAAAACTCTTCCTCTCAAGAGTACTTTTTGAGGTTCCAATTGTAGCGAATGTATCACGCTAATGTTTCAATAGTTATTTTTAAATGAAGCACGCTACATGTACAATTTACTTTACAATTTGGACTACAATCATTGAGTTGACACAAATTTCTACCACACATTTTAAAAATTATTTTTTCAATCAATGGTGTGGATCCCCGCACCTTACCGATTGTCAATCAAGTTGTGAAACATGATTGTACAATTAGAATAATTCATTTTTAAATAGATTTAGTAATCCATACCATGCTCTAGAACCACTTGGACTTTGCATAGCTTTGCTTGGGACTATAAGTGTCATGGGCCCGTTCGTTGGGTAGGGAAGGTCATGTCCAGGATCAGTGTTTAAGTGTCTTTTTAAATCCTTATTGTTTTTTATTTCAAAAAAGTTAAAATATCTATACCTGACATTGACATTCGTGCCTCATTTTTTCAACGGCCATCCTATCTTGATGAAAATTACAATCAATCTCTATTAACGCGGCTCAATATAAGCAGTCTGATCCAATTTTATACCTCATGCCTCGAGCGTGAGTTATTGAATAGTATTTTTTTACAAGAGTTTGTAATTCCTATCGAAACATACGCTCAAAGTGGGTGTAGATCAAATGAACTTTTCATTCATTAGATGAAAAAGATCATCAATATTTTTTCCCCTTTATAGTATAAGAATTAACAATTTTCTAATGTGGCCCTATTCCATGGTCTCTTTGCATTTTTTGCTCGAAATCTGCCTCGTGAGAAATCGATTCTTAGCCAACTTGCAATTTTATGACCCCACCACTTAGTTTAAAAATAGAATATAAGTTAATAAATTTTTAAAATGTTAATAGCATGCCCCTATAGCATATAACTCAATCATTTTTCATAGGTTAGGGTTGACAAAACTCGAGTAATCATCATTACAAGGACATAATACTACTTAAAGAGGGGATTAAGATTGTAATTTATGTTTAGAGAACATATGCAACGCATTTTTTCCTAAAATGTTCGATCGACAAATTATATCTTAATTTATTAAATCGTCTTGTTCGATATATTAGATTAAATTCAATTAGACTCGATTTGATAGAGTTAAAAAAGAAAGACACGTGAAATATTTGTTCATAATTTAAAATTTTTGAAAAATTATTTTGGGTTGTCGATAATACTTTCAAACTAATAGGTATATTTTATTACATCCATTTGAGTTTGTTTGATTTTTTCAATTACATACATATAATGCAATATTACTCTTTGTTCATTTTGGAACTATAAAGGTAAGAGTAATCATCAAATCGTTAGCAATTGATGAGTGAAAATATCTGAAGTATCTTTTAATACGAACAAGAGAAACGTGTAAAAACACGTTAATTTTGAAATATTCGTGATTTTAGGAAATTGATAATTCCATATTTAACTACGAAATATTGAATAATTGATAAGAAATTGAGATATGTCAAAATATTTTTAAGCAATGATAAAAAATTAATCATCCAACTAAAACATTCCGTTACCCGATGCAAACCTAATTAAACTGTACCATAGTCTCTCGTCTATTATAAAAATAATTAGCAGATGCTAATGACGAAAAAGGCACAGAAATCAAAATAAAAACCTTTTTTTTTTTTTTAAATAAATCTAAGATTAAAAAAAAAAAATCTGGTCTCATGTGTGCTTAATATCCTGTCACGTGCCATGTCTCAAACAAATATTTTCTCGTTTCGAATAGTCCGATGAATCAACAAATGTACTCACATTTGCATAATCACTCACAAGGCATATATTACTCGTGTCAATAAATTTAATCATAATTATTTAATTTAACAATTTAAAGTTTTAAATGAAGAATTTTATTTATTTATTATTTATTTTTTAAGCCAAAATAAACTTTCACTAAGTATAAGCCCTTGCAAATATTCAAAGAAATAAAAATATAAAATAAAATCCATCTAGTTTCAAACAACTAGGGAAGTGATAGCAAATGAAGCAAGCCATTGAGCTACTATATTTCTCTCTCTAGGTACAAAATAGTAAGATCTACACCCTATCTCTTTAAGAAGAACTACAATATCATAGTGTTGTGTATGTGGCTCATATAGAATAAAACATAGGTTCCTTGGATTAAATAGGTCGATGTCGGAGTGGAGCGTAGCGCACCGAACGAAAATTAAAATTATTTATGTAAGTAGAGTATAATTTTTGTTCTCGATCTTCCGATCTATTTTTCATTTTAGTGGAAGTAACCTAAAAAGATGTAAAGACCTCTCGCTCGAAATATAATATACTCATAGAGATGAGTATTATTTATATATATATTTTTAAGTTATTATTCGTGATAATATCTTTTCACGAATTTGGCCTAAAACTCCCAAATTGCTTGAGTGGGCTCTGTTACCATTTGACGGACAACTTTTGCACGTACTTCATGTCTTTCCTCTGAGAATAAACCATGACTCCGCACTAAAGTTTTGTTTCGCACAACAAAAGTGAGGTGATCAAGATATTTGTATTAGGACCGTAAGGAAGTGTCTTGAAGACAAAATATGAATAGGCGCATGGCATAAATTTCTAGATCAAATGTTTTGAGAAGTCAAACACATGACTATGAACATTTTGACTATGTACAAATCCTGAAAACCATTATATGCACCATGTGCCGTGTATGTATATTCAACATTGAGTCTGAGGACCCCACGTCGACCCCACGCCCCACTCCCGGCCCCACCCTACCCCTTTCTTGACATAGAATCCTTAGAATCCGATATGTCATTTGAAAAGTGTATCTATCTGTCTGGCAAAACACCAAGTAGAGTAGTTGCTGAAATGATGATGATGCAGACTTCTGTGCAGAAAGTAAATAACCAAGAATCAACGTTTCGTTCCTGGGTTGGTCAAAATGGCACCCCAAAAGTTAGAAATTTTTTTTTATCCTAAAACGATTTCCACTTCACTTTTATCAGTACTCATAAACTGGTTAGCTACAAATATTCGTGCTTGCACACTACAATATATATGAATTGTCATCTCATGTGGCTTTTGGAGGTATTTTCCTTATGTCGTGGGCAAACACATCATTTCATCATGTATTGGCAACTAGTCCATGTTCACAAGGGATCAAAATTGTTGTGAATTTGCTTATCATGTACAGTGGAGTTAAAAATAAATTTCAATTCTTATCAAGAATCATCTTTGTATTTAGATAGGAACTATGATAAAAGTTATACATTTTCAATATTTGCAAACTCCTTTATTTTTCCCTTGTTCCAGTCACCTTGATCTACCACTCACAATTATCCAATTGTCCAGCCTCCAATAAAATTCCATACAAAGAACAGATTATAGCTATCGGGGTTTTCTCCTCTTGTGCTAGTAAGAATTATGAGAATCTCTACAAACTAAAAATCCTAATCGCGTATTTATATAAGCTCAAAATAGTTTGGCCTGATTCGGTCCAATATTTAATTAATCAATTTAATTAAATCTGGTCCGTGAATTAATTAATCTTAATTAGGCATATAAATAAGCAACCTAATTAATTAATTTATTCAACGCTTTTAAATTAATTAATTAATAAATTACAATATTCTAATTCTCTTTTTGTATGCGATCCACTAGGTTCCTGATCACGATATCTAATGACATGAAATATTATTTTGATCTAATCAAAATTGATAAATTAAAACACCCTTCCAATTTATAACCAATTCACACTCGCCGTCCCAAATTGATATCTAGCAATGTGTCAGGACAATATATGTGACGAAAAATATTACGTGGTATGACAAAATCAAACTTGTTTGTTTATCGTGAAATTATAATCATTTCGTTAATATGATCCGATCAATTACGAGATATGAAAATGTGTCAATCGTGATCATCGATCATACTTTCATTCCACTATTAAATCTATATAAGTCAAAAACTCATTTTTCGACTTCTGAGTATACTTTGGCTAAGGAATTTATTATCGACTTAATTGAATGAAATGCAGATCATAATATCTTACTATCTACAAGTGACGAATCATCTATTGGTCATTCACAACATTTATATGATTTTTAACATATCCAAACGATACCGTATTAGCAGCTCTAAATAGAGCAACATCCAACACCGTCAAAGTATGACTGTCTTCATACATGGCACTATGACGACCTCAAGTCAAATGACCAATTTCACTACCGGATGTTAGAGATTAACCACTAACACTCATATAGTTATCTATGTAGAATCTCTTAGCGGGTCTCCAATGTTTTGTTCTATAACAAAAACATCAACGCGTTCATTTAAGTGTCTTCACACTTTAGCTCATGAGATTAGCTACTTACTTCACAAGTAAGAAATGATACACATGATGGTCTAACTATAATAACGATATCTGCATCTCGTTATTACTTACGCCCATGAATTATTTAAGATCCAATCATATGTAATTTACATCTCATAATCACAATTTTTTT